TCTTATCCTCACTATTAATACACGTTGCCTTTATGATTAAGATGACCCTTGAAAGTTACACTTAATTACTAAAATACTAGTCATTTATGTTCAATCTTGACCAATGATCTATACATCTAATGGCTGGATTTTATTCTCATTCCTCTCATGGGACTTCTTTCTCATAGGAACCAATCCCTATATATATTATATATATATAATATATAATATATATATATATATAGACACACACACACACACACACACATACACACACACACACATACATACATACTTCCTCCGTTCCTTTTTAATTGCAATGGTCAACATTTCACGTTTGTCAACGCAAAAGTTTGACCATTAATATCTCTCATTTCTTATTAGTAAAAAATAAAATTAAAAATTCATATATTAAAAATTTAGAATGAAAAGAATTTAACAATATTTTTTAAAAATTTAATTCATTAATAAATGAAAAACAATCAAAGTTGAATATGTGAATAGTGCAAAAAGTCTAATGTTGCAATTAAATGAGAACGGAGGTAGTACCTTTTTTTTCTTTTCTTTTCTCTCTCTATTTTTTTTGTTTTTTTAGCCGCCGCCCGTTTAATCCAAGTGAGGTCAGACCTCATCAAATTCAAGATTGAAAAAGATTTTTTTTAAGTAACGAAAGAGCTTGAGAACTTGAGGAGTTGCTCCAGGTTTGTGACTGATTGAGTTAAATCCAACTAAGAGAGCTAAATATACGTAAGTGTGAGAATAATATGGCAGCGTAAGGCAATTTCACTCTTTATTCCGAAGAACTAGCAATTGTCTAGCCTCGGTTCAGAATTCAATCGGGGATCCCTTGGTCGGGTGTTTACATCCAATATTTATAGATCATGGGAGATAGTATTATGGGAGGAATCTAATACAATTAATGCGTCATTAATGAACTATATTTTTGCTCGAAATAGAACTCTTCAATGCTTGATTCCCACACGATGGCTTTCTCCTTTTAGTCGCTGTCCTCCGGATGAGTTCTGCCTGTTGCCAAATATCTATCAACGAGTGATAGTTCGCCACGTAAGCCCTAGGAATATTCTGGCCTCACTAGAACTCCGCCCAGGCTCGAGGTCTGCTGTCCAGCCCGACCCGGCTGTGGGTTCCTATCGTGGGCCTAATTCCTAATGGGCTAAGCGGCTTTTGATCATAAATCCCGTTTATGGGCTGATCCTGTAATTAGGCTTGATCCCGTTTATGGGCTAATCCCGTTTATGGGCTAATCCTGTAATTAGGCTGATCCCGTTAAGGGCTAATCCCGTTTATGGACTGGACTACGTAATTGGGCCATGGCCGGAATCCATGGTGCCATCAGTGACGATCCGCTCATAGAATGTCAGAGCGTTGATCTGCGTTCCGTGCTTGATCTATAAGCGTGCCGTGCTCCACTCATAGAATTTGTCCAAGTGTCCTGCAATCTACACTTGATCTGCTAGCTTCCCCGTCGTGGTCTTCAATTAATAAGATTGATTGGGAGCTCTGCACCGATCTTTATTTTCCGTTCCAATCTCTTGGGATTGACCTGAATTTCTTTGCCTTCAGAGGTGGGTTCAGTACAAAGCTAACTCTCCCTCGTACTTTGTATCTTTGTTGATGGCATGGGCCTTGAGGTTCTCTGCCTGAGTTGCTTACACGCCTTCGTGTATGTGAAAGATATAGAATATACTTTAGAATATTATAATATACTTCAGAATATTCTAGGAATATACTTTAGGATATTATTATTGTATAGAATCTTATATAGGAATATTTTATTTGTAATGTATATTTATAGGGACTTAACCCTTCAATGAAATACACAGAAAATCCTTTCCTCTCCAATATTATTTCTTAGTTAATATGCTCTATTTCAACATGGTATCAGAGCCTTTCATTTCAATTTAGTTTTTCAGATTTCAATTTAGTTTTTCACACTCGTTCTTTCTCAAAGAACTTGAGTTCAGTTCAGAACCTCTTGAGTTCAGTTCAGAACCTCTGTGCACCATTCTGTCTACAAGAAACTCAACCCAGTCAGAACCTCTTTACACAGAATCTCTATTCAGAAGCTTAGTTCAATCTCAGAACCTCCGATTATTCCCAGAACCTCTTCCCAGAAGCTTTTGCCAGAACCTTCGATCTCAGAAGCAACTGGGTATCCGACAACCCTGTTCAACCTCCCTCATCCTCTGGTTCTCCTGCCACTGTTGGAACTCTTTGTCTGAAACTCGCCTGAAAGTCCTCTGCCAGGTATACTTTACTTCTCTCGTTCTTTGTCCAGCAAGGGACGAGATCTGTGGGCCGGAGGAAGCTTCGTGGTTGGTCGCTAGTGTCTGGCATCGGATACTGTGGACGCCCCAGGTGGGTTGGTCGCTGCCTCGCTGGTGTCTAGCATCGGATATGTGTGGACACCCCTTGGACTGCTACCGATATGTCAGCGCATCAATTTTAAAAGTTGAGTAAGTATTTTTTCCTCCAAATTCTCTTCTCCAAATTTTGAGCCCACAAACGGGGAAAGGCTGCTGTAGCTTATGGCAGTATCTCAATTTTGAACTTACTACTGCAAAAAAAAAATAATATAAAAAAAAATGTTGGGTCAATTTGACAGAGGAGTAATATGCAATTACTGCAAGAAGCCCGGACACTTGATCAAAGAATGCAGAAAATTGCTATTCAAAAATCAAGGGAATCAACCTGCTCATGTCGCTTCCGCTACCAGTTCCTCTGATGGATCAATTGCTATTTCTGTAGACGAGTATGCCAAATTTATTTGCTACCAAGAATCTCTAAAGCATTCCTCTATCCGTATCTCGGTAGTTGCTAATTCAGGTATTTCAAACACATGTCTTGTTTCATCATCCTCGAAACGGGTCATTGACTCAGGTGCCACAGATCATATGACCGGTAATCCTAGTCTATTCTCATCATTTCATTCATATTTACCTACTTCTAGTGTCACTTTAGCTGACGGGTCTACCTCACCTGTCCTTGGATCTGGTACTGTTGTCCCAACTTCTACATTACCATTATCACCTGTTTTGAGTCTTCCAAATTTTGCGTTTAATCTGCTTTCCATCAGTAAAATCACGCGCACTCTAAATTGTTCTGTAACATTTTTTCCTGGATACTGTGTGTTTCAGGATCTGTTAACGAAGCAGACTATTGGTAAAGGACATGAGTCGGCTGGCCTTTATATTTTGGATACATCAATAACAAAAGGTATCTCTTGTCTCGGGGTTGGAACTTTGTTAGAGGCTCATTACCGACTAGGACACCCATCTCTCACACTTATGAAACAAATATATCCTCAGTTTAATAAGGTGTCATCTATACAATGTGAGTCATGTGAATTTGCAAAACATCATCGCACTAGTTTAAGTCCCCGACTTAATAAACGAGCAAATGCTCCATTTGATCTTGTCCATACTGATGTTTGGGGGGCATGTCCGGTTGTGTCCAAATCTGGTTTCAAATACTTTGTTACTTTTGTTGATGATTATTCTCGTATGACATGGTTATATCTTATGAAGCGTCGATCCGAGTTATTTACTCATTTCTCTGCATTTTGTGCTAAAATTAAAACTCAATTTAATGTTCCTGTTTGTGTGTTAAGGGGAGACAATGCTCAAGAATATCTATCTGCTCCATTTAAATCTTTTATGCTTCAACATGGCATTATTCATCAAACTTCATGCGTAGACACACCTCCTCAAAATGGAGTTGCTGAAAGAAAGAATAGACATCTGTTAGAAACTGCACGAGCTCTTCTATTCCAAATGAATGTGCCTAAACAGTTTTGGGCTGATGCTGTGTCTACTTCATGTTTTTTGATCAATCGTATGCCATCTTCTGTTTTGGAGGGTAAAACTCCTTATCAATGCCTTTTTACAAATAAAGAACTTTTTCCCATTCCACCTAAAATATTTGGTTGCACTTGTTTTGTTAGAGATGTTAACCCTCATCGCACGAAGTTGGATCCCAAATCATTGAAATGTATTTTCTTAGGTTATTCTCGAGTTCAAAAGGGGTATAGATGTTTTTGTCCAAGTACAGGTCGATATCTTATTTCTATTGATGTCTCATTTCATGAAAATACACCTTTTTCATTATCCAAGACAGATATTCATGAGGACAACGATGAAATACTCATTTACACAGTTACTATACCTGAGACCACACCTTCAGTAACTATGCCGAATGCCACTGTTCCTGACCCTAGACCTCCTGTACACTTGGTTTACACCCGTCGACACAAAGCACAAGATCACTCCCCACCTGTGACACCTGTGATTACATATCCTGATAGTGGTCCGACTTCGATCTCATGTCCTGAACCAGTACCTGCATCTTCAGATCTTGTCTCTACATCTGATCTTGACCTCCCGATAGCACTACGTAAAGGTACACGGTCTTGTACTCATCCTATTTCCTCATTTGTGTCATATAGTCAGTTATCTTCTGCCTCATGTTCTTTTGTTGCTTCCATTGATTCTATTTCTGTTCCCAAATCTGTTAAAGAAGCTTTGTCTCATCCTGAATGGCGTCATGCCATGGTAGAGGAAATGAATGCTTTGGATCTTAATGGTACTTGGGATTTGGTAGACTTGCCTTCAGGGAAGAAATCTATTGGATGTAAGTGGGTCTTTGCTGTTAAGGTTAATCCAGATGGATCTGTTGCTCGATTGAAAGCTCGATTGGTTGCAAAGGGTTATGCTCAAACCTATGGTGTTGATTATTCTGACACTTTTTCTCCTGTTGCTAAATTAACATCTGTCAGGTTACTTATCTCACTCGCTGCAACTCATGATTGGCACTTACACCAGTTGGACATTAAAAATGCATTCTTGCATGGTGACCTTCAGGAGGAAGTTTATATTGAGCAACCTCCGGGATTTGTTGCTCAGGGGGAGTATGGGAAGGTTTATCGACTTCGCAAATCTCTTTATGGTCTGAAACAGAGTCCTCGTGCATGGTTTGGGAAATTCAGTCAATCCGTTGAACGGTTTGGAATGATAAAAGGTCAATCAGATCACTCTGTCTTTAACAGAAAAACGAAAGCGGGTATCACATTGCTTGTGGTGTATGTCGATGATATTGTGATTACAGGAAGTGATACTGCAGGTATTTTGGCTCTTAAGAATTTTCTTCATAGCCAATTCCAAACAAAAGACCTAGGCTCATTGAAATACTTTCTGGGTATTGAGGTAACACGAAGTAAGAAAGGCATATTTCTATCTCAGCGTAAATATGTACTTGATTTACTAACTGAAACAGGGAAATTGGGAGCAAAGCCAAACACAACTCCCATGGTTCCCAATGTGCAACTCACTTCAGAAGGCATACCATTCGAAGACCCAGAAAGGTACAGAAGATTGGTTGGAAAGCTTAACTATCTCGCAGTCACTCGTCCAGACATTGCTTACTCTGTGAGCGTAGTAAGTCAATATATGTCATCTCCGACCATTGACCATTGGGCTGCTGTAGAACATATATTATGTTACTTGAAGGGAACACCAGGACGCGGGATTGTCTATCAAAATCACGACCACATGAGAATAGAATGTTTTGCTGATGCTGACTGGGCAGGATCTAAAGATGATCGAAGATCTACCTCGGGGTATTGTGTCTTTGTTGGAGGAAACCTAGTATCCTGGAAGAGTAAGAAACAGAGTGTGGTTTCTCGTTCGAGTGCCGAATCAGAATACCGAGCTATGGCACAATCTGCATGTGAGATCATATGGATAGGCCATTTATTGGGTGAAATCGGATTGAAGACACCAATGCCTGATAAATTGTGGTGTGATAATCAAGCTGCCATACACATTGCCAACAACCCAGTATTTCATGAGAGAACAACGCATATTGAGGTTGATTGTCATTTTATTCGAGAGAAGATACAAAAAGGATTGATCTCTACGGGATATGTGAAGACTGGAGAACAACTTGGAGATTTGTTCACTAAAGCACTAAATGGGATCCGAGTTGGTTATTTATGTAACAAGTTGGGCATGTTAAATATCTATGCTCCAACTTGAGGAGGAGTGTGAAAGATATAGAATATACTTTAGAATATTATAATATACTTCAGAATATTCTAGGAATATACTTTAGGATATTATTATTGTATAGAATCTTATATAGGAATATTCTATTTGTAATGTATATTTATAGGGACTTAACCCTTCAATGAAATACACAGAAAATCCTTTCCTCTCCAATATTATTTCTTAGTTAATATGCTCTATTTCAACAGTGTAAAACCTTGCATGCCTGAAACAGCTCTGTGTTGCCAGGTTTGTACCCCTTTGACAACAATTCTTCCATGCCTTCGTGTAATTGCTCCGCGTTGCCAGGTCTGTAAGCGGGAGCTCCCGTTTGGTAACAGCTGACCGTTGCAAGGTCTGGACCCCTTTAGCAACAGTGCTTCTTCCTTTCTCGGGACAAGTGTTGCCGAGTGGGCCTCCTTGCTTCCAGGCCTTCGAGTAACAACTCCGTGTCGTAAGGTTTGTACCCCTTTGGCAATGATGCTTCCACGCCTCTGTGAATCTCTGCGTCATAGGGCGTCTTCGTATTATCCGAGAGATGTCTTCTTGTCCACAAGAATTATGTGACTTGCATGCTTATGCGCCTCTTCCTGTGGTGTCAACCTCTAGAAACCTTGAGCCAAAGCTTCTAGAACGTGGTGGCTTCCCGGAACGCTTGCACCCCAGCATGAAGCTGTGTCGGCTTCGTGCGCGGAGCACGATAGGGCTCACCTCTAAGGCGATCACGGGCGGAGTGCACGTTATGACCGTGACCCAGTTTACCCCTAGAGTCTTCAGGATTCGACACTTGATTCCATAGATCTTCTGTCAACATCATCACCTGACTCCTCACGTGACTAGGAGTTGTACAGCAGTAACTGTCGCCATCCAGGAAGGGAATGGCTGAGACCGATCTTGACACTAGGGCTGCGACACTAATGAGCCGATCCAAAAATGGTGACAAGGTAAAGATGACGCAGCCGTCGTATGGGACGTCGGCGCTGAAGGGCTGGTCCCGAACATGAATACGACGGTCGCCATCCCGAAAGGGAACGGGTAGCTCGATCGTGAGGTAACGTCAGTGCCAGGAGTCGGTCTTGAGATAGATAATTGTAACACCCCGTCCCCACCGGGACCCGAGGTAGTTACTCCGGACCAATAGTACTGTCCTCACAAACCGCCACTAGCCTTTTACACGCACTTTGTCCTCACTCGTGCGCGCCCTGAGAAACTTCCCAGGGGGTCACCCATCCCAAGACTACTCCCGTGCAAGCACACTTAACTTTGGAGTTCTTAGCGGATGAGCTCCCTTAAAAGGAGATGCACCTTGTTGGTATGAGTAGTACTATTAATCCGTTTATATTAAATCTCAAGTGTTACAATCACCCCCACTTAGGATCGCAACGTCCTCGTTGCGCCCTTAAACCAATCTCAATCAAACCCCAGAATCTTTTCCCCTACTAAGTGCCCGCCCGATATCCAACGGGTCAGCACACTGTCGCAGGATTGCTCTGATACCACCTGTAACACCCCGGCCCCGCAGGGACCCGAGGTAGTTACTCCGGACCAATAGTACTATCCTCACAAACCACCACTAGCCTTTTACACGCACTTTGTCCTCACTCGTGCGCGCCCTGAGAAACTTCCCAGGGGGTCACCCATCCCAAGACTACTCCCGTGCAAGCACGCTTAACTTTGGAGTTCTTAGCGGATGAGCTCCCTTAAAAGGAGATGCACCTTGTTGGTATGAGTAGTACTATTAATCCGTTTATATTAAATCTCAAGTGTTACAATAATCAAGCGGCAGCGGCACACGGCGGCGGCACACGGTGGTGGCGGCACATGATGGCTGCGGCACACGGCGGCGGCGACACATGATGGCGGTAGCAGCAGCACTGGAAGGCCGGTCATCAGACGAAAACTTTGACAGTTCAGCCCATTGGTTAAGGTTCCTTGTTTCCATCATATGCCTAGGGTTCGAATCCCAGCCCAAACTCTGCACTTTCTTCCTCCGCTAGGCTTCTTCTACCTCAGCCTGGCGGTGTGCACGCCCTTGTCGAACGGCTTCGTGTTGCAAGATTTGTATCCCTTTAGACACGGTGCTCCCTGGATTTCGCGTAACAGCTCCGCGTTGCAAGGTCCGTACCCCTTTAGCAATGGTGCTTCCTTTTCTCCCAGGACGAGTGTTGCCGAGAGGGCCTCCTTTCTGGATACCGCTGCATTGCAAGGTCTGTAGCCCTTTAGCAACGGTGCTTTTATGCCTTCGAGTAACAGCTTTACGTTGCAAGGTCTATGCCCCTTTGACAACAGTGCTTCATCATTGTACCAGTGGAAGGTTCTGGGACGTGGAGGTTGGCAACGTATGGCTCTCCCCCGACGACCCTTCTCCTCAAGTCGTGTAGCCTTAACATCAGGGGCCGGTTCTGCTCGTGTGCGTCCAGCGCGGAGCTGAACTTGCGCAGAAGACTCTGCAAGACTGCAACCCTCTTCCATGCGTGAGGTCGACATTTAGCATGGCGTCCGTCCGAGAAGGCTGTCCGCCTGCCTGGTCGACGGGAGTGATATGACGAGTCGTCTTTCCTGGCTACCATGGCTATCCAACTTGGCAGGACACATACTCCCTTCAAGATCCGTCTGTGCTGGAACATCTTTGCTGGTACGCCTCCCGGGGAGCCAGCCATCTACCCGATCGACGGGGGTGATGAGACGAATCGTTCCCTCCTTCCCGGAATGAGCGTTACCGGGAGGGCCTCCTTCTTGGCAGCTCAACTTGCTGGGACACGTATTCCCTTCAAAATCCGTCTGCGCTGGTACGTATTTGCTGGTACATCTGTGCTGATACGTCTTCCGGGGAGCCAACCACCCTACCCACTCGACGGGGGTGATGAGACGAATCTTCCCCTCCTTCCCGGGACGAGTGTTCCCGGGAGGGCTTCCTTCCTGGCTATCGTGGCTGCACAACTTGTCGGGACACATACTCCCTTCGGGATCCGTCCGTGCTGGTACATCTGCGCTGGTACGTTTGTGCTGGTACGTCTCAACTTGTCGGGACACATACTCCCTTTGGGATTCGTCTGTGCTGGTATGTCTGTGATGATACGTCTCCCAGGGAGCCAGCACACATACCCGGTCGACAAGAGTGATGAGACGAATCGTCCCCTCCTTCCCAAGACGAGTGTTGCTAGGAGGGTCTCTTTCCTGGCTGCTCAACTTCCCGGGACGCGTACTCCCTTTGGGATCCATCATGCTCTAAGCGTACGAGCATTGTGTATGGGCATTGAGCATACAAACGTCTGGGGTGATAGCTCCAAGCGTGCATGACCTCGCAATGGTGCTCTGCAACCACGACCAGTTGGCACGGATAGTCAACATGCAATTTAAGAAAATTAAATAGAAATTTCAAATCTATATCTTTAAGTTGTTGATGGTCGTCCTTTGTTGATGATCGCCCTAGTTAGGATAGATTGAATTGAGGCACAACTACCTGAACTTAGTGAGTTCGAGGGCCCATCGAAGCTAATTTTGTGCTTGGAATTAGCCTACACCTGCCTTTGGTGGAATTTTGACTAGGTCAAAATTAAGGCGTGAAGAGAAATCTAGTGTGGCAGTCATCCTCTCCAACTAGTGTTGCCGCCAGAGAAAGGATGGAGCCCCAGATGGTGATCACACTTCAACAGTTCACCTGCCGCCTCAACTCGTCGGCCAACAGGAGAGACCAAGGCGGCGACCAGAGACACATCTATGGGCGTAGCTGCGAGCGGCGGCGACCAGCCAGGCGGAGCTGCGAGCGGCGGCGACATCGGTGAAGGTGGCGCACGATGACCCTCGTTTCGGCGGAGAGAGGGATGGCGGCCCTCGAGTGCGGTGGCGATACTCTGGGCAGCGAACGGCGCCTGAGATGGACGAACGAGCTCTGAGCGCCGGTTTTGCGAAGCAATGCTCTGTTGCCCTCTCGACTTCGTCGCAGGAAGTGGAGGAGCGGTCTTTGTCTTTCGGCAGAAATCCTCGAATAACCAGCCAGCGAGAAGAACTAGAACATCCTTACTGGCGACTGGGCAGCGACGGCCCCGGCTGGGAGACCTTCAACTGACTCTGTACGGCGGATTGGCGACAATAGCTCCGGTTGGGATCCGTAGGGTGACGGCACGGGTGGAGCCCCCGAACAGAGACAGCCTGGTCTGAGTCGCTTGGACATGGGTTGAGGAGTGACCTGTGTACGGCGCCTGCGACAGGATGAGCGAACTGGGAGCTTCGCTGCTATGAACGTGGACGCACTCTGACCTGCCGGGATCTAGGTTCGAAGATTCCAACTTTTCCATGTTGAGGTCTAATTTTTTTGTGTAATCGCCCTTCTCCCTGATCATTTTTGGGCTGGATTTTGAATTGTCATGAATCAAAAATAACTTTTTGGGTATGTCTGACATGGCTGCTTTCTCTTCCAAATTCCTACCGAAAAATGAGATAGACTCTCAATGAAAGCACCAATGTTGGTAGAAAATATTCCGGGTAGAGAATCCGGCAGCAATTCAGTATAGTTAAAATAGCGTGGAGAATACATGGGGGTGATGGCCTATTTATAGGCATCCATCACAAGTCCAAAGTCTAACCTACGTGGGCTTGGCCCAAATAAATAATACATGTCCAAACTAGTGGGCGAACCGGCCCGATAAATAAGTAAATGTGCCAGGGGCGATTCCCGCTCGTGAGACTGCGTCCTGGGCCTATTTGGGCCAAAGCTCGGGGATAACGGGCCGATGGCACTGGGCCTGGCCCATTATCCCAACAATAATGAAACTACAACCTCAAGGAAAACAAGATAGATTCTACCGGAAACCCGAATCAGGAAGTATCAAGATGTTGAGTTAAAATTAAAATTTGAATCAATAAAATCAGGAATTTAGGCCTACCGGAAAAACACTGATTCTGAGGAGATGGAAATCTGGTGTCTGGTTTGCTAAACATTGTAGTTGATAGAGAAGAGAGCCGAGTTCCGTCTATTGGGTTTCGCCATCAGGTGCAGATTAGTTGGAAATGTAAAACGCAGACGGAAGATGGAAAGAAATACAGAGACATGGGAGTGAAAGGATTGCTTTCTTTCCGGTGGCTGGTGAAACCGGAACAATTTATGCACTTGACTCCTTACCGGTGGCTGGAAAAACCGGCAAGTTTAACAAATCCGTTTCGGTGGCTGATCAAACCGAACCTATTTCGAGTAGCACGAGCAGTCAAATTGCGGGACGAGTCTACATAGTTGCAGGGTTAGCGAACATAATAGCTTTTATATGGTTTTTTTGTTCTTTGTCTCACCCTAGTGTAGCATTTAACGCTGTGATTGTAATGCTTCAGCATTTGATTGTTATGTTTCTGGTTACCCTTATCAATAATAATTAAGTTATTTGATTTTCAAAAAAAAAAAGTCTGTCATTTCAAACCTTGTTTGTCTACAGGAATTTTTAGCAATTATTTACAGATTTACATTCAAGTGTACCACAAAAATATGGTTATCTAATATTATCCGTATGTAGTATACTCACTAAATGCACATTAATAGGTCTATTGGTTAATATGAATTACACAAACTTGCTACTCCATTAAATGTAAAAAAATTAATGAAATTTGCAATCTAAATTGGTTAAAAATGAAGTAGTTGGCAAAAGTGATTCAGAATATAAACGTATGTATATTAATTGGTTTATTACAATATCACTCTGCTGAAAATTGCAATTAAGCGAAACTAATATTATGTGTGTGTATGAAGTCAATATAAGTGATATCAACAAATATTTTAACGTAGAGAAAATGAGTTAATTATCAAAATAGGACTAAAAGTCATTCACTTTGCACAAATAGGACCAAAAAATAAACTATGTTTCCGTAGGACTAATTATGTGTGTCTTGGACAAATATACCCTTATAACTATTGGAATGTTTTAATTCATAATAAAATAATAAAAAATAATAAAAATTCGTAAAATATACCAAAAAATTAATAAAAATATTTTGAATAATAATAAATTAAAAAAAATTAAAAAAAATTAAAAAAATTAAAAAAATTAAAAAAAAAATCAATTTTTTTGTCACCGCCGCCTCTGTCGCCCCAGCACCACCACCTCTAGTCATTTGGGGAAAAATGCCAAATTTATTATGAATTCCATATTTTTGGCATAATTCAGAATGATTTAAGATGGAAGAAAAAAAATGTTGGCATTCTCAAAGAGAAATATGCCATATTTTTGGCATTTTCCAAAAAAAATGGAAGTTTGTAGGAAATATGGCATTTTTTTTAACGGTCGGAGGTGGTGGTGCAGCGAGGCGGTACCACCACCTCCTGTCACCGGGGTAAAAAAATGCCAAAAAAATATGAATGCCATATTTTTGGCAAAAGTCAAAAGGATTCAAGTTGGTAGAATGAAAATGTTGGCATTCTCATAGAGAAATATGCCATTTTTTTGTAATTTAAAAAAAAAGTGGCATTTTTTACACCGATCGGAGGTGGTGGTTCAGGGAGGTAGTACAGGCGGTGGGAAAGGTATCCATATTTTTTTTTAATTTTTTTTATGGAGTTTTACTATTTTTTATTAATTTTCAAAAAAAAATTAATTTTTTTTTTCTTATTTTATATTTTATAAAAATTTTATTATTTTTTTTATTATTTTTCTATGAATTATTGAATTTTTTTCGAATTTATTATGAATTAAAACATTAAATTATGACTTTTAGCTATCTTTTACTAAATAAAGGAGGGGTAAGAATGGAAGGAAGAAATGAGTATGTTTCCAATAGGACCACTATGGTCCTATTTTGGAATAAAAAACATAGCAAGTCCTATTTTTAGTTTTTGCCATAGTTTTAGTCCTATTTGAAGTAATTTCTATAGAGAAAATATATGAATACCTTAAGCAACTTCATACGAATCATTTTCCTTTAACATAATATACATCGTCATATGAGTAACAATATTATACTCTTTTTGTCCCGCTATGATTATCTTATTTTACCTTTTCGGTCCATCCCACTAAGATTTTCTCATATCTTATTTGGTAAAATTTGTGTGATTTTAAATCATTCCTATTTTATTCTTACATTATCAATTCATTATCAACCACATAAACCCACTTTTATAAATAATCGTGTCACCTTCTCTTATCTCAAATTTAGGGGAACGGAGGTAGTATATTTTGTAAGAATAATTTCCTAATCATTTATTTCTTCACTTTTGGGCAACAACAAAGAATTAAGCTTGATAAGAAAAAGGCTGGGGTGAAAACATAATTACTTGTATCAGTTGTACGTATACCATGCATGACTCAATCGAATATTCGAATTCCGATGATATGCATAGAAACAGACACTGATGTTCTTATGTAATTTTTATTATTTAAGTAATAACTCACATGAAACTATTCTCATACCTTTTCAATTCACATTATACTCCCTCCGTCCCTTATAACTTTGCCAACTTTCCTTTTTTGGATGTCCCATTAACTTTGCCACTTTCCCATTTAAGTAAAGAATTTATGGTTCCAATTAATTCTCTCTCCTCTGCACAAATCTCAACCACACAGTTTTTACTTTATTAATCAACGTGCCAGTCAAACTTGACAAAGTTATTAGGGACGGAGGGAGTATTCTTAAGCAGTCTGATCTTTCTTTCTCGGTCGGCTGAGCGTTGTGATAACTAGATTTTCACCCGTGCTTCGCACGGGATGTAGTTAGTAAGCAATACATATTCGGAATATATAAAGATACTGTGATTGAGATAGATCAATACATATATTGTTTTCAACAAAAGTAAATGAAGATTAAACATTAAAAATTATTATATATATATATATATATATAGAGAGAGAGAGCTCTTCTCATCAGGCCGGCCTGACGGGCTGCCCCGTCCGGCCGAGCCCGTTTGGGCACCTTCCGGGTGGAATTTTTTGATGAAAATTTTTGAGCATGTTCCTCATCAAGTCTAGTTTGTCCATACCAAATTTCAGCTCAAAATTCTATCGGGAAGGTCGTCAAATGATTTTTTCAAGTTAACTGGTCCGGAATATGTATTTTCCGGACCAGTTAACTTGCAAAAATCATTTGACGACCTTCCCGATCGAATTTTGAGCTGAAATTTGGTATGGACAAACTAGACTTGATGAGAAACATGCTCAAAAAATTTCATCAAAAAATTCCACTGGGAAGGTTCCCAAACGGGCTCGGCCGGACGGGGCAGCCCGTCAGGCCGGCCTGATGAGATGATTTCTCTATATATATATATATATATATATATATATATATATACTATTGTAAACAACATTTGAAGTCTTGGTGGCCGGTTTTCAGTCATCATCACATATTCGGAGGAAAGATTTGTATTCCTCGTTAGCAGCACCCCAATTTAAGTTTTAGCTCGTGTCTTGGCATAACATAACATTTAGTGCTCTTGAGAAATTTTGGAGAATAGATGTGCACCGTTTAAATTAAAAGAAGATATCAAGTCCAAACTTAAGTGTATCTTAATCTCACCAGGAGTCAACCCCAACATGTAAGGAGTCAACCCCAACAATCCAACATGTAATAGTTGATCTTGTCGCGTTCATCAATGATTGGCGCTAGATCAGAACTTCCTGGATAGAATCATCTGTCATAGGTGTAATAAATTCTTCAGTCAACCATTAGTTAGAATTGAGAAATTCCCCGTGAATATGCCTTTGGCATTTCTCCAATATATATAGTGTACAAAGTAATCGATAAGAATTACAGAGCCGTATCTATACAAACTACCTACTTTGTTAAACATCAGAGAAAGCTACGGAAGAATAAACCTATCTATACAACCGCACTATAAGATAATATTTGCAATATTAATTATTATGATAATACTAAGCAACTGATTCCAACTTTGACGTGTGGCACATGCTGCACATGTATGGGTATGTATGGACCCAATTTGTGTAACGATGCATAAATTCTATCACGCCCCGGCAGTTTGATCGGGGGTAATTGAACGTTCAAACTGGACCGAAAGTCATGAAATAATATTCGAGGAAGGCCCTTTGTAAAGATATCAGCATATTGAAAACGGGAAGGGACGTGAAGTACACGAACGTGCCCCAGTGCCGCCTTTTCACGGACAAAGTGTATATCCATTTCTACATGTTTTGTACGTTGATGTTGTACCGGATTGTGAGCCATATAGATGGAACTAACATTATCGCAATATACGATAGAAGCCTGGGAAAGAGGATGCCGGAGCTCTAGTAATAAATTTCGGAGCCAACAAGTTTCAGCAACAACATTAGCCATGCCACGGTATTCGGCTTCGGCGCTGGATCGAGAGATGGTAGCTTGCCATTTGGAGGACCAAGAGATAAGGTTATCACCTAAGAAGACACAGTACCCGGATGTGGACCGACGGGTGTCCGGGCAACCACCCCAATCGGCGTCACTATAGGCAAGCAATTTGCTAACGGGGAAGGATGAAGATGAAGACCGTAGGACAGTGTGCCCTTTACGTAGCGAAGGATACGTTTCAGAGCATCCAGATGAGGCAGCCGGAGATCGTGCATGTATAAGCATACTTGTTGGACAACATATGAGAGGTCCGGCCTGGTGAAGGTTAGATATTGTAAGGCTCCGGCAAGGCTGCGGTAGAGGGTAGGGTCTGGAACGGATGGACCAGATTCAGCACTGAGTTTAGCTTTTGTGTCTACGGGTGTGCTGGAGGAGTTGCAAGATGCCATGCCCACCCGTTGAAGAATTTTTGCCGCATATTTGTTTTGTGAGAGGAATAGTCCTCCGCGGTTACGGGAGACAGAAATTCCAAGGAAGTAAGATAGGGGCCCCAGGTCTTTGATTGAAAATTCTGTTCCAAGTTGGGAAATGAGCTTAGCGAGTAGTTGGGATGTGGAGGTAAGTATTATGCCGTCCACATAGAGAAGAAGGTAGGCAGTTGCACCGGCTTGATGATAAATAAACAGGGAGTGGTCAACTTTACTATGTTTGAAACCCAATTTGGTGGCATGATTGGCGAAACGGTGATACCATGCACGGGGAGCCTGTTTTAAGCCATAAAGGGATTTTTTAAGAAGGCATACATGAGAGGGCCAAGAGGAATCCTTGAAACCGGGCGGTTGATGCATATAGACCGTCTCATTAAGAAACCCGTGTAAAAATGCATTGTTGACGTCCAGTTGATGAACGGGCCAAGAGTGTGAGAGAGCAACACTTAGAACCGTGCGAATGGTAGCCGGTTTGACTACGAGACTAAAAGTCTCGTCCCAATCAATCCCTGGCCGTTGAGATTTACCGTTGACCACCAAACGGGCTTTGTGACGTTCCAAGCTTCCATCGGACTTGTACTTATGCTTAAATAACCACATACAACGGATAACATTAGCATTAGGAGGACGGGGAACCAACTCCCACGTCTTATTATTAATGAGAGCCGTAAATTCAGAGATCATAGCCGATTTCCAGTTGGGATCCCGGAGGGCATGGACATGAGATTTGGGCAAGGGAGAAGATATAAGTGAGGTGTTGTTGTTAGTGTGGAGATTATAGATGGGATTTGGGCGAAATATTCCAGCCTTGCTGCGGATAAGCATGGGATGGCGTGTTGGTTGGGAGGTGGTGGGAACCGTATGAGCTGGAATGTGGGTGGCAGTATGGTCTGCTGGAGAGGGTGGGGGCTGTATAGGTGCCGTAGGTTGAATTGATGATGAGGGTACAGTGGGTGTTGGGGATGATGGTTGTATGGGTAAAAGGTGTGATAAGATAAAGGGAGATGGTGAGTCATTAAGAAAATTATATGACGGTGTGGGTGGAGTAGGGGTATGTTTAAAAGGAAAATTAGACTCATCAAATGTAACCTGGCGGGAGATAATAATGCGGTGTGTGGATAAGTCAAGACATTTATATCCTTTGTGTTGAGACGGGAAACCAAGAAATACACATGGGGTAGTGCGAGCGGCAAGCTTATGGGGGGTGGTAATAAGGGGGTAGCACATGCAACCGAAGATGCGTAAGTGAGAGTACGGCGGTTGTTTGTGATATAAGGCTAGTGTGGGAGAGATATAGGAAAGGGATTTGGAGGGAAGAATATTATGTAAATAGGTGGCCATAAGCACGGCATGTGGCCAGAAGCGGGGTGGGACAGAAGCATGGAGTAGAAGGGTGCGAGTAATATTATTTATGGAGCGAATTTTTCTTTCGGCTTTACCATTTTGGGAGAAGTATATGGACATGAGAAACGAAAGGAAATGCCATGGGTTGAGCAATAATTGTGAAATAATGAGTTATTATATTCACGACCATTATCACATTGTAGTGTTTTAATAGAAGTTCCAAATTGATTTCGTACAAATGCATGAAAGTGTACAAATTTGGAGAAAGCGTCGGATTTGCGAAATAGAGGATAAACCCAAAGAAAATTGGTAAAATCATCTAGAAATAAAATATAATACCGGTGACCAGGGGCGGCCCTGTATCATTGAAGTCCTAGGGGCGAATAATTTAAAATGGGCCTAATTTAAATAAACAAAATTGTAAAATACATTTCTATCTAAATTAACATGCAAAATATTACTATTTGAATACCTTTATAATAAAGAAAATACTTGAATTCATTAAATTAAACATAGTCGAATCACGTTTTCAAAATAACAAAAAAAATACTTAAATACATTCCTTGTTGAACATTGTGAGGCAAAGTCATCAACTATAGCTTCATAATCAAGCTTTCACAACACATTGTGCTCAATGTTTAATATAGCTAATCCAATAAGCCTTTCTTGAGACATTGTTGATCGCATATAATTTTTAATTTCTCCCGTCCGGATTCGCTCATTTTTATCAAACCTTGAAATTAGTTAAATTTAAAATTTTGATTATAATTGAAAATTTTTACCTAATAAAATGAACAAATTATAACACAACAATCATCAATTAAGTAATTAACATCTCACAAAATCATCCAATTATTTATCAACTATTCATAATCATTTATAAACATTTAACAACTACAAATTAAATCAATTTATGAATTACTTAATTGATCACACAAATACACAATCATATGTTCGTACTACTCAAATAAATTAACAAAGGAGAATGTTAAAAACTATTCTGTACAATAAATAAACAATGGCCAGAACGGAGGGTTGGAAGGCGTACCTGATAACCACAAGTTTAAAAGCCTTAAGGCAAAATGGCAGATCAGAATTCGTGATTCGTGAAGACTGGAGGGTTGAAGGCTGATTGGCTATTTGGCTGAAGGTTGAAAACAGCATGGAAACGAATCTCTTGCGCGATGACGTTTAGTTTCTCTGCTTTTTTTTTTTCATTTCGGGCCTTTGGGCTGCTTGGGCTGCTTGGACTATACAAAATTAATAATTTAGGGTAAAAACTCAGCCTACTCAAATACACTATAAAGAAATAATTTTAGGCCTAATAATTTTTCATTTTTTTTGGCCTAGGGCCACCGCCCTACCTGCCCCCCCCCCCCCCCCCCCAGGGCCGCCCCTGGGTGACCAGTAGAACTTAAAATTGGAGATGTCCATAAATCACTGTGTATAATATCAAATGGAGCATGAGTGTAAGAAAATGTTTGTAATGCCATTTAAGCTAATAGTAGGCTGATATTTATATAATTCAGTCAATTTTATCATGTGATTAAATTTATTTGGATAAAAGACTAAAGTGAGTTTGAGGGCAAAAAAGGAAATAATGTTTTACACAACCATTTGATGTCCACTCATTTTTCAGAATAAAAAAATTGAAGCGGAAGCAAAGTCAATATCAGTAGAATTTAAAAGAAAATACAAGTTGGGGGGGGGGGGGGGGAGTGAAGGAAAAGAAACTATACCAAAGAAAGAACTCAATGAGACAAATTCACGGACATCTAGAGTGCTTCATTTTTATATATCAAGGCATAGAGAAACCGTACCTCTATGGAACCATGGTATGTATTAAATATGCCTGAGGTCATTAATATAACTTCTTATGCCCCACCATATCAGCAAGTCCACCACCATATAAGAAAAGTTGATTATGTAGTGATATGTTATTAGATAAAAAAAATAGTTTTATTAAAAACACTGGAAGCTTACCCAATATCCAGCACTTTGGGGCACACCGCACACGAGCTAATGGATGAGGAAACTCATATGTTGGCCTACCTATTCAAGAAACATGTAAGTTATCACCCTAAGGAGATAAATTCAAGAACAGGTGATGAGGAAGAGAAGTGATTAAAAACCAGCCCCATAAATTCTCATATAAGGTACATACCTGATTATTATCACTACACATGCACAAGCTCCATATATCGATTGCAAGTGCAAGATATGGATTATCATCTTTCCTTAACACTGCCTGCATCACCTGGCACATGTGTATACATATATGTGTCCTGCTAAAGTAGTCCAAGAAAACAAGAACTGTCAAGATTACTCGTTTTATTGAAATACCTTATGGTCCATCCAATGAGGACTTCCTTTCAATGAAAGATCAATATTTTTTCCCTGAAAGCTGAAATAGAGTTCAGAGAACGAGTGAGAAATATATTATGAAACAGCTTAAGGTAAATTTTATATTATCTCAGATCAGAAAACATAGAAACACGAGCATACAACTAAGAACTTGGAATACTCCTATTGAATTGACAATTTAAGAAGGAATTGCACCTCTTAATTTAATGGGAAAAGAAAACAGAAGAAGTGAATACCACAGACGCACTTTGAGAGCATAAAAAACATTTGCACAGAACAAATGAGCAATGTCAGTAAGTGTGTATGTGTGTGAATCAAAAAATAAAGAGCATGCTTGGAAAGTAAGTATTCCATCATAGTTAATATAAAGAATACAAGGTTTCAAGAACAGACATGTTTTGCCAATCCAAAGTCAGCAAGCTTGACAACACTAGATGCATCTACAAGCAAAATCAGCCCCTTTTATGTCCCTATTTCTCAAACATCCCTAATAAGATATTATTATCATTCACTATATAATAAGTGTTTTCCACTTGAAATTCTCCAAACTATTGTTGCAATGAGACTTTCAGTAGCTATCATTGAACTTTTCTCATTTTGGTCCTCCAATTATTATGGGACATTTTTGTATGGTCTTTAAGTTTTTCTACTTTTGGTCCACAGACTAATGTAAGAGTGATAAATTTATCCTCCAACTATTGTAATTGTAAGTCATTCAACTATTGTGGCAAAAGAATGCGAAGAAAAAGTGTATTTGTCATGGCTAAAAGTGGAAAGATTTAGAGACGAGTACAAGAAGTGTGTGTCACAATATTTATAGGGCATTCAGTGAAATATTTAAAGACAGGTACCAAAGTGTAGTTGACAAAATAGGCAGTGGCCAAAAGTGGGAAAACCTCATTATATAATTAAAGTACTTCAACTATAACCCAGTCTACCACCGTTGTGATACAGTACCTGTGAATTGTCTTGGTGTTGTGCAAGTAAGCTATTCCAGAAACAATATGACGAGTAAAATTCCCAACAACAAACTCTGGCAAAGCTCCCCCATAATCTCTAAGATATTTATTAAGTGATCCAGGATGGATGTACTCCAAATATATGCAAAACCGATCATCGACCTAAACCATATTAAAAAATATCGGTTAACTAACACACACACATAATGTGGAGATTCCTCTGCAAAAAGACGTGTATCATTATTTGCAAATCTAGGAGAGTAGAGAATGTTCTTGCAATTTCACTACCATAATACTGCACAATATTGGGATGTTTCAGCTGTCTAAACACTTATATTTCCTAAATTCAAAGCAAATGACAATATTAGGGATTCATTTCCACTTCACTCTCCAACTTTCTGTTTCTTCCTCACCATCGCAGGGCAGAGCTACGAACAGTCCACTGTTCACCGCGCAAGAACGACGATGAACAGTGCTGGACAAGGACCCCTAAAACTAATCGACCAGAAAAAACGAGTGGGTAGGGGCGTCTGGACATAGCGAGTCCCAAAACAACCTTGAATCATATGAACATGGTGATTATTACCTTGAATGTCACATTCTCAGCCGTGAACAGTACATTTCGCGAAAATCAGAAATTATTTTCTGGTCTTTGTACGTGAATCATCCTTTCAAGCTGAATCCAGAGTTTAGAAAGGGATTACGACCAAGATCCAAGAAAAACAACAGTGTCTAACACAACAAATCTCCAAAAATAAGGAGAAATCGCTCCATGAAGCCATATGGACTTCGGAACCCTAGCACTGCGTACATCAAGCAAAAATGAGAAGCGGAATTTGGAAAATGAGTTGAGAAAGCATCGTGACTCACTTCATAGGAGGAGAGCCGCAAACGGCGTTAATTAATAGGGACTGTTCACACGGTAAAAGAGTCATGCTAACCCCCTCTCCCACTTTACATTTTTAGTAGATACAGTATAAAAGTATATATACATATACTTCCTCCGTTCTTTTTTAATTGCAATGGTCCACTTTTCACGCTTGCCAACGCACAAGTT